TCGCCTGGGAGACGTGCGACGTCGAAATAGTGAATAATACTTTCAATCCATTTGTCAACATCATCATCAGACTTGCCATGAAACGGTTTAACAAAATCTTTCATTTGCTGAAGTGGATCTGTGTTAACAATAAAATGCATCGGTGTAGTAGCCATGGATGTGCATGATGATAGCGGTGGGATGGTTGATAATGGATGGCGATCACTGATGGGTTTAAAACTGCCTAAGTTATAACTTGTTGGAGTTATAACTAGTTATAACTAATTTAACTTTTGGTCAAAAATTTCAAATAGTTATAACTATCAACTTGGGTTGATAGTTATAACTTCAGTTGATAGTTATAACTTCAGTTGATAGTTATAACTTCAGTTGATAGTTATAACTTCAGTTGATAGTTATAACTTCAGTTGATAGTTATAACTTCAGTTGATAGTTATATATAGATAGTACTTCTCCTAATTTTTTCCGTTCTTATATTTCAGAATTTTTGTTTTCTTCGCCTCACGTAATAGGGTTGTAGAATAAAAGAAAAGAAAACTGTTTGTACAATTTTTAACTGTATTTGACAGAAAGCCATGCGATATTCATGGTGAATATATCATGGTATAATCGTTCACTATTTCTATATCTATATGTACGTAGATATATCACCGTAAAAGAATCTTTGTAGTGTGGAGTGTTGAGGGCTTTTTAGACGTTACTTCTTTCTTCTACTTTTACGAGATATTTGGACGCTTGTCTTCTTGTGATATCATATTTTCACTATCTATTCTGTATGAAAACTAAACTGAACTGAAGGAAATATTTCGATTAAAAATGTATGCTAGCGGTACTGAATCAAATTTGAATCCAGATATTGAAGTAATTAGCTCGCCAAAGGGTGCTGGTGGTCGAACACGTGACGAGATATGGGCACATTTTGATGATTATGGCGATGCTAAAACAGCTGGGCATAAAAAATGTAAATGTAAATATTGTAATATCACATTTCAATATGCAAAATTACCGATGATGTATCGGCACATCTCACATGAATGTGAACACATATCAAGTATCAATCCAAATGGTCTAAAAGAAATACTTGTCAAGTTAAACAGTAGTACAACTGATACTAGTAACAGTAAACGTCTGAAAACCCATAATTTAACATCAACAACACCATCGACATCGTCTAAATCATTAATAACGACGATGCCAAAATGCAGTAAACAATTAAACATGGATCAATTCGGCACACGTGCTATTTTACCAAGTGAAAAACAATCAATCGATCAAACATTAGTTCGAGCATTTGTTATGAATGGAATGTCATTTATGACTATTGATAATATTTTTTTCAAAGAATTTTTACTTAAATTAAATCCTATGTATACTCCTCCAGATAGAAAAAAATTATCTCGTGATTTGTTGACGAAAGAATTAGTTAATGTTGAAACAAGAAATAATGATTTGTTGAATGAATCTGAACATCTTACATTAAACGTTGATGGTTGGACAGATCAAGCTGGACGCTCATTATATGAATTTAATGCAATCACTGAATATAGAAAATGTATCGTTCTGGCATTAAAAGATCTTAGTTCACACTCTCATACAACGATATTTCTGAATGATGAATTAGAAAGTGTACTAAAAAAAGTATCAGTAAATTGTGATGTTAATTCAAAAATTCGAGCCATTGTCACTGATAATCCAAATGTTATGAAGAGTATGCGTGATTTATTTATAGCACAACCGAGCAATCAACACATTCTTTCATTACGTTGTTTTGCACACGCGCTAAATTTGATAGCTTGTAAGTATGAATATACCTGGATGCCACCTATGCCCTCTCACTTCGTAAATGTATTTGTGTTTATTTTTAGCTGATGTTATTAAACATTCATATTCGACCAGAATATTGTCTCGATTATCAATCGTCGCGACATATTTTAATCAATCACACCAGTCAAAAGCACAGTTGAAATTTGAAGCCAAACGAATGAAGGCCAAAAAGGAAACATTAGATACGGTCGCTGATACTCGTTGGACTACTGTTGCGGATAGTCTACATTCGTTTTTATTGTTACGAATTCCATTATTAACAATCGTAACTGAAAATGATGATCGGCTACCACAAAAAGTTAAAACAGTTGTTAATGCAAGAAATTTTTTTTATGAAATAGAAAATGTATATGGAATAATGAGAGTGTTAGCGTATGGAGTTGGTATCATACAATCAAATTCAGCTACTATGGCAGATTGCTATTTAATTTTAATATATATTAATCGTTTGACAAACGAGTTTGTACGTAGTAGTGAAACAAAAGAATTTGGTCGGTTTGTTAGCAAAGTAGTCAATATTCGTCTTAGAGAATTTCAGAATTTTTATTATGCTGCCAGTTTCTTTTTACATCCCAAATATCGTGGTGCAGGGCTATTAACAGATTGTCGTAGTCAGGTATATAAAACAATTGCTGAATATAGTAAAAGAATTGGAAATAATCAAGCAACAACCAAAATGGTTATTGCGTCCTTACAACGTTATGAAATGAAGATTGGACCGTATAGTTTGAATTATTCAAAAGATGATACGCCATCTAGTTGGTGGGCTATGGTTCGTGACCAGACTAATAAAAATTCATTGAAAGATATAGCGATAAGATTATTTTCTATCACACCACATTCTGTAATGCCAGAAAGATTGTTTTCTATTTTGGATTGGCAACATTCGAAACGTAGAAATCGTTTAAATCCATTTACATTGGAAGCCATAACAAAAATTCATACCTATCATTGTAATAGCAGTAATTCAGTCATTGATATGGAAAAAATAGAAGAAGCATTATCCGATGAATTGAAGCCTGTTGAAAATGAGAATGACCTGAATGATAACACAAAAAAGTTCAATGATCATATAAATGAGAACCATCAAATATTATGTCAGTTAACTGACTCAGAATTAATTAGCGAAAACGATATTGAGGATAAAGACTTATTGAATATATCATCGTTAGTGAATTCTGAAGATAGGGATATAACAAATATATTCGTTGAACTTGGTTTATTAGACGAAGATGTACAAGAACAAAATGATACTCAAACAGCAAGTAGTCAAGATAGAAATGATGATGAGGAGGATTATGATATAGATGAATTGGTCAAAGCAGCAATCGCTACTTGAATTAAATAAAAAGTATTTATTTATGAACTACATTTATGTGTTTTGTTCTGTTTAATAATAAGAAATTTCTTTGAATTCTGATCGCCTCGTAGTTAGTACATCGACATTCGGCAATAGCACAATACAAACTGGAATGAACTTACAGAATTCTAACTCGGGTTTGTAATTATAAATGAAATTGAAATAGTTATAACCTTCAACCCGAGTTATAACCTTCAACCCGAGTTATAACCTTCAACCCGAGTTATAACTGTCAACCCGAGTTATAACCGGATCAACTTTTTTAGAAATTTTCTTATGTTTCAACTTTTGAAAAATAGTTTTAAACCCATCAGTGATGGCGATCGAATGATCGTGTATTAGATGAATATGAATGGGCGGCATTCATGTGCTGCTGAGATTGTTGTAGCTTCAATAATTCCAATTCTTTCCGTAGGTAATCGACTTCTGTTTGTAGAGAGTA